GAGATGTTCTCATAGTGTTCAACGTTTCGTACGAGAAAGAAACTGCTTATAAAATATCTTTTTGTTATACTCATACTGCATTAGAAGTTATTTCTTTTATGAGTGAGCTTAAAAATCACTGGTGATTGAGCAACAACCAAGTAGTTATTAGTGGGTCATTAGGTTACGAAATGAAGCGCAAAATAAATATACCCTTTTTTTTCCAGCGGTTTCGGAATTCTGACCCCCAAAATAGACAGCAATCTGGTCCCCACAGTTTGTCAAGAAAGCGGTCCAAAGTTTGGACTCCTTAATGTTAATTTTAATTAAGTGTATTTCGCCATATCTCGAGAACTTTTTAAGCGAATTGAAAAATGTTTGCACACACTTATAAAATTTGTTTATCCAAAGATAGTTCTGTGCTAAAAATAACTTTTAGTAAATATTTATCATTTTATTTAATAAATTATTTAAAAAGGAGTCATCAATGACTATGACCCACCCGTGACCTTTAAAAACAGCTATTCAAAGGTTATAATAAAATCCCGGAAAATGAACAGGAAATTTTAAGGGGATCAGTAAATCTTCCCAATCAGGTGTTTACCAAAAACAGGTCAGGACTAGAAGCCCATTTAATCTTATCGCTGTTGTCGTTGTCCTAAGCGATTAAGGCAAGGGGTGAGATTGTTTTTGCTTTACGGTGGCGCCGACTTCTGCCACACCATACGTCACACCCGTTTATTGGGATTACCCATTCATTCATCCACAGATCGTAATTTTGACCTGAACCAGAGAAAGATCCATCTCCAATTCAGTGCCCCCATAGATACTGACTTGTTAAGGGAACATGGAGGACTTCATGACCCCCGACAGATTTTAATGTGCATCAGTCATCATTTACTACACAGGGAGTCTTCGGCCGGCTGGATTCGAACTCCCGTTCTCACGAACGGAAGTCCAGCGCCCTGCCTACCAGGCTATCACGGCCCAATTTTTATCACTCTATCTTAAGTATAAAAAGAGACAATAAAGAAATAGTAAAATTAGAGCAAATAATTTAGTTAAATAAGTTAAATTATAAAATGAGTTAAGTAACTATACAAATGAAAGAAGATATCGTTGCAGACGATATACTTTAATGTTTGACATGCTTTTTCAGAAATGCTCTCTCTAAGACTATCTCCTGACTGATAGGCTTAACCCCAACATTCATTCTTGGGCAAAGGCCCATGAATTCTCTCCCCCCCCCCCCCACTTTACTTCAGTGCACAACACGTAAAAGAGAGAGCGAGTAACCCGTGTCATTGCTAATTGATTACGCTTCGTCGTCTTGGAAACGATTTTGCCCCGATATACGTCACGTGATGGCACCGGTCGAACAGCAGTCCAGGAATTTATGATAAAAAATAAAGATTTATATTAAAGGGGGGGGGAAGCTTTTTTTTAAGTACTCGCATAAAAATATTATTTGGATAAATGAGATAAATTTTTGTGGAGTGATGAGTTTTTTTAAGAGGGTACTTTGAAAAATGACTTATAGTATAAATCAAATTTTGTTCTAAGCGTGAGATCGGCAAAAAAAATTTAATAACTTCTGATGATTAAAGATTCTATTTTGTTTACCCATAAATATAATTTAAATTATACTTATTTATTATTTATGTATTACATATTAATTATATCACACAAGGCTTATTTTAATTGCACATAATAGAAATAAACTTAATATCATTAAAAATTTTCCTTGCTGAATAAAAAAATAGAATAACTCTTAATGAGTGAGCTATTTTATTAAAAAATGGTCGTTTTTTTTTTACTTAATAAACCATATAGCCAGTCAAAATGTATCATAAAAGTTATAAAAACAATTTTGATGGTTTCCTGCAGTAACAAATCAAACATTTACTTACTAAATAAAGGATACATCTAATCTACTTAAAAAAAGTCTTAGGACACTATAATAACAAGCCACATTATGAATTCTTTTAGATGGAAATTTTAAAAACGTTTTTGATAATGAAAAAAAAAAATCTCAATTTTCATTCAGAAAATAAGATGTTTAAATGTATTGTCCTGTGAACAATTCGAAATTCTAGAAACTTTTTAAGTACTTATATGGAAACTTTTCTAAGATATAGAATGTAAATAAGACATTATCACTGTATATTCCCAAACCTTTCATTTAAAAAAAAGGTGCTAACACATATTTGACATCTAATTACAAGTTTTTCAGTAAAACTTTAGATGGCCAAAACTTTTTATGCAATATTTTAAATTGCTAAAAGTTTTCCAAGTATCCATCGTGAAAAAACATCAAAATCTTATTTATTTTATTTCTTATTTATATTGAAGCGATATTCTCTCTCTTTTCGCCTTTACTTTCATTACCACACAACTTTTTTTCTTTTCTTTATTGAGTATTTTTCTATAACGTCCGGTTGAACCGTATTTGGAGTGATATTTTTTCATCTCGTCTGATGATAGGGAACAAAAAAGAACCTTTAAAGAAGATGTTCATCGTATACTTTAACTCGTTACGATAAATGGTTACCATGACAACCAAATGTTCCCACTCGCTACATCCTTTGTTGGTAAAATGGAGTTAGTGAGATCAACCATTTATAAAAGTTGCCAGAATATCTCCCTACTTTGGCACAACTTCACTTCATTTGGCGGAAAATCTGATGTTGCTAATTAATTACATACATAGTTGAATGCAAAGATTAACTAAAATAAAATGCATTGCCTGTCAACTTTTGATTAACATTTGTGATGTTTAAGTATTTTGTAAATAATTATCTCACTCAAATCTTATACTTTTACAATTATTTAAATTCCAAATCCTTCTGGATCTTCTGATCTAATGATCGGATTTATATATATTATAATGGTTTGAGCCCTTCTAAATCAGTGCAGAAATTCATCAAGTTATGAAATACAATGCTAAATACATTTATTTATAAGAAGCTTCTTTAAACATCGACTTAAAAAGCAGATTCTTAAAATGTTTGTCAAAAATGAACTAAAAAAATTTTACCTACTACTAGTATACCGAATTAATATTCACCGAAAATCAAAAACACTATCAAAATTTATGGAAGCCCTGGTGAGGAACGCAGAATGAAAAACATCAAAACCAGTTTGATTGTTTGATGAAGCTTGAAAGTATTTTTAACAATCGCCTTCTTCTTTCCTCGTGCAATCAAACAGGTTTTGATATTTTCAGTTCTGCTTGTTTTTTTATTCTTCACTCAAATATTATTTTTCGACTTCTCGTGTCCATATTTTTTTACTTCATTTTTAACTAGGTTTCTAAAAATATAGATTAAGGATGGTCAGTACTTAATAAAAATATCTTACATAAAACTCTTCTAATTTAATAAAAAAATATTAATACATATTTTGTTTATTAAACAAAATTATTAAACAGAATAATTAGTCAAGAAATCAGCCCATAATGCAATTCATGCATTTCTTACAACAAAAAAAATCTATGACTTAAAATGTAAGTTAAAAAGAAATGACTGTAATAAGTTACTTATTATTTAATTTAATAAGATTCTAGTTAATCTAAACTATAATCTTAAAATATTTGAAAGATGCTGCAAAAAAGTTAGTAATTGCATTACAAAATGCATTGCAAAAACCAAGACTTGAAATAAATGTGCCTTCTCGAATCTAAAAATCCTATTATTTTTATTCAAAAGTCTTCTGTTTAAAATTACCATAAATTAGCAATTTTTATTCATTTTTTATCCAATATAAATTTCTTCAGATATTCCAACGTTATCAATATTTTGACTTTTATAGGATATCGTACAGGTTAGAATTACTTATTAATTTTTCTTCGATTTCGAAGAGCTTTCAGATTTCAAAATACTTTCCCGTACATTCCAAAACAAAATGTTTTTGCTATAAAAAAGGCCTCCTATTTACATTTTGATACTGATCATTATTCATCTGATGTCTTGGAAATTGGCTGCAGAAAATAAAAAGAAAACAAAGATAAAAAGTCGTTAAGATAAGGCGACTCTTCAAAATATTTACATATGGAAATCCGAAAATTTTCTGCTTCCCAAATATTCCGGGACTTTAACAGAATTCTTTTTGCTATTATAAATGACAAAACATTCGACGTGAAGACTTTCACATTCAAATAGTACCGAAAAAAAGTTCTGTGAAATTCACAATATGTGTACCAAATATTTTTGAATTTCAACCTTATACTATAATGAGTGAAACTTATACATTTATTTTAAGCAAAACTAAAACTAAACATAATGCTTAAGCCAAGGGTCTACAAATAACCTTCGTCGTAACTGTAGCTGCGCCTAAAGTTTGATTAGATTGGAAGCAATCATATCTTTGACTTACCTGATTAAAAGACGTCAAACTCATTATTTCATAACTCGTCTAAGCAATGACTAAAATAGTTAAACTTTATTTCGAGGCGTCCCTTATTGGATTATCGCTAAGTTAGTCGACAGGTTGAGCAATGTTGTTTCATTTATGGCAACCCACAAAAAAAACCCTGTAAATAAGATAGACCAATATTTACTTTTCTACTGCACACTTTAGATAACATAACTTTTCATTTTTACGTTAATGAGTTGTTTTATTTTGTTAGGAAATACATTTCGTTCCAGTTTTATGTTTGATTATGTTTTGTTTTCAGCGCCTTGTTTTTGACCTGGCGTAGCACAAAAGTAATCGATTTTTGCCAAGAGGCACCTCTAAACATATTTTTACTTCAAAATAGTAACCTGAATTCTTTCTAATGTTTGAGAAAATCTTCTTTAAGTTCAAAATAATCTCTGTTTCAGCATACCTTTGTTTTATGTGTGTGTGTGGTTTCAGTTAGAAATAAAAACTATAATTTCACTGACTTATTTAGTTGAAAGCTATCCACCTCGTTTAAACTTTTTGCATTACTTCGGATTTTTTAAGGGGCACTTTTCAAACTGGCAAAATATGTTCGATTGCTAAATATTTTTTTTCTCTTAATTTCGAATTTCCTGCAGGTATGGGCCAGCCATTCCAGCCTCAGCAGCAACAACAACCCATGACAACATTGACCACTGGTCAGCAATCTGTATCTCTTTTGGGCACATCGTCAAGTGGTGGAGGATTTGTGTCTGGTTCCTTAATACCGAGCAGTGCAGTGAGTGGAGGCATGGGGAGGGGTAGTGGGACCATCCCTAGGACCGTGCCTCTTACGGCGCTGTCCCAGACGCTGCAGCAGCAACAGCAGCCTATGTGGCCCAATTCTCAGCCCCAGCAACAAGGACAGCCATTGCAATCGCAACCACAAAATCAATGGAATTTACAACAAGCAGTAAGTGGCGGTCTATTTTTTTTTATCTCAACAAATCCTTAGATATTTTTCTAACTAAAAGTGTATTTAATTCTCGAGGTAGTTAAAAAGTTAATTTCAAAATGCATTTGATATTTTAATGCAAAATCGCTTGAAATTTGCCGTTGATTTGAGTGCAAATTCTTAAAAGAATTACGCTTACATATATGCATTTAATCCTCTTCAAAATACCGTTTTCTGCAATTGACTACGTCTAAGTCAGAGGCTCTCAAACATATTCAATGAGTGACACACTTTCTGAGTATCCCTATCTGCCCATTACATTTCGCAAAATAACGTATAAAAATTGAATATTTTTACATTTATGTTGCTTTATGACCACCCTGGGAGAATACCCCAGGATATCCAAGTATAAAATTTGGGAATAATGGTATTAAATCATTTCAATGCATGTACACCATTAATCTTTACGGTATTTCCTTTTCTATCAAATCAATTTTTTACGTATCTTTGCATATTTTTACTATCTTTAAACATTTATGAAATAGGTGAACATAAATTTGAAAAATACACCAGTAATGCTGCATAATAGCTTGTTAGTTTTTTGTATAATTTTCAATTAAAGATAAAATGAAAATAACTATTTCACCACTCTTGAAATTTCTTCCATCAGTTTTAAACCTGATCTACGGCGCTAATTTTCTTTTACGAACGTGTTTCTTTTCACAGCAGGTACAACAGCAAGTGAATCAAGTAGGACCACAACAACTGTCAATGCAAATGAATTCTCAGAAATCGAAGCCCATGGATTTGGTTCCAGGAATGATGATGACAACCCAACAACAACAACAAATGCAAATACAACAGCAACAGCAACAACAGCAGCAGAAGCAACAACAGCAGCAGCAACAACTGAAGGGACAGAAGGGTCAAAAGGTGGGTGAGCAGCAGGACTGGTCCCCAGGGACTGATCTGTCCCCCATCATGGATGTCTCACCTTCACTTGAAGCTGCGGAGCAAGAACTAATGGAGAAGTGCCAGGAGGCTGACCAGCTGAGGCCGATACCACGAGCCACCTCCGGGACGATATCGGGCATGTTGGCCGACTTCAACAAGGCGCTCGGTCTGGCTACCACGCCCACGCTAGACGACGGTCAGCAACGGAGTCTAGTGGCTACAACTACGACAACGGCTCCTCAACAGCAAATGAGCGGCATAGTTGGTAGTGGCGGAATGGCCCCAACGTCAATTATACCAAGTAATTCTTCCTTTTAAATCTGTTCTGCATATGTGATTTAAGTAATTTCCAACGCATCATCAAAACTAATAACGTGGATTAATTACGTTGACAAGTCCAGCCACAATACCACAATAAGCGGAATAGGGTCCTAATAGTTTGGTCAGAAAAGCAGTCGAAAGTTTGAACCCCTTCATATTAATGTTGCTTTTTGCGTATCTCGCCATTTCTCGAGATTTTCCTTAAGTGAATCGCAATTTTTAATTAATAATTTTTTGGGGGATAAGAATAATTTTTAATGATTTTTTTATTATTTTTTTATAATTTTTTTATTATTTTGTATTTTTTTTAATAATAGTCGTAAAAAATTGAAAGGTAAAAAATACACATTTTTATATCGTTTATGTAATTTCTATATCGTTTATGTAAAAGAATGTAATTTCTTAAATTAAGTACAAAATTCGAACGAAATCGGTCAAATAGTATCTGAGACGAATAATTTCTCAAATTTTGCTTTTTTACACATAAAATTATACTCTTGATAAAGATGTAAAAATGTGTAACCCTTAGAATTAAAATTTTGTCGACTACTATTAAACAAAACAATAAAAAATAATAAACCATTATTAAAAAATATGTTTGCATGGATAAATGGAAAAAGCAAATGAAGTCTTCGGATAATCTTCAGATAAACGAATTTTACAATTTGCTACTGTTCGCTTAAAAACTTCTCGAGATATAGTGAAGTGCACGAAAACTAAAGTTAGCATTAAATAGTCCAAATTTTCAGCCGATCTCTTGATCAAATTATAAGGACCATATTTTTCTGATTATGATTAAGCCCCCCCCACCATTTATTAAAGTTCAGAAATTCAAATCCGTCAAGAAAGATATGCTTATTCAGAAAAAAAAGGCTTCTTTGTGTTTACTTAAAACATCGTTTTCGCTAATTAATTAGCATATTTGAAGTCATCACCCCCGTGAATCATTATGATGGAGCCCTAGTACGCGAAAGCCTGATCATTAAATCAAAAGTTATGCAGGGTGGCTCATTTTGTTTTTTGCGCATTGTGCAACCTGACTGATGAATATTGTACTAATATTTCCAACGTTCACTCCACGTATTGCTATATGCTCTACAAAGCTTGAATATCTCACATTATGTTAACTCCGTAAAAATAGCCTTAACTTTTATTATTTTTACTCTGTAAAAATAGCCTTCAACTTGATCATCTTAATACCATAAAAATAACCTTGTAAAATGCTTATTGAATTTGCGTATCTTTACTAACTACAAATAAAATTTAACTGTTTTCGCGTAAAATCCTGACGACCATTTTCAGTCAAAACCAAAAAATGGAAGCTGATTGATGAGGATCAATAAAAAATTTTACAAATAAACTGTGACACAATTTTTTTAATCTTACGTACTAAAACACTAATTCCATAATTTTTCGTGAAAATGTTTTTTAACTTTTTGGTTAATTCCCAATAAATATGAATTGGTTACCATACAATCAAATATACATTTTAATTCTCATTAAATAAGCATTGGTTACGACATAAAGTGATTTCCTAAAAATTTCGCAGATTTCGCGCCGAGTTTGTTGGACGACGAGATTTTACGCAGATATCAATGTAACTATTAATAAGTATTGTTCACTATTGTGAAGTGTTTAGACAAGAAAAAAAGAAGCAAATCGTAATATATGTTTTTTTTCACAAAGATGGCACGGAGATGGACCAGAACCAGAATCTCGTGCAACAGCAGTTCCAGCTTCAGCAGCAACAGCTCATGATACAACAACAACAGCAGGTGATAGCACAGCAACAGCAACAACTACAACAGCAAGCGCATCTTCAACAGCAGATGCAACAACAACAACAGCAGCAACTACAAAGCCATCAGCAGCTCCAAAGTCAGCAGCAACAGCAGCAGGTTTTGTTGCACGATATGCAACAGCAACAACAACAGCAACACGTTATGCAACAGACATCTCTCGTGCAGCACCAACCGGGAGTCGTCATTGGTGGAGCTCCGATGCAGCAGCAGCAGCAGTCCCAATCCCAGCGGAAGGTTAGGAGGCTTATTTATATTATATTATATTATATATATACGAGGGAAGATCAAATATAAATGAGACTTCTTTACTAAACAAATATTAAAATACTGTTTACAAGAAATGACTTTCTATTATGATCGATATTCCTTGTCTGCGGAATCAGTCTCCATTTTTGAGAAGTCTGTAAAATTCTCAAATGTGTCTGATGGTTTGTCGAGGTGCCGAGTCCGGGCTATATGGAGGATATTCAACTGTTTCCCAGTGNATATATACACTGGTTATCATAAATTAAGGAAAATTCACAAAAATCGCGATAACTCAAGAAATTACACATGGAATTTTATGAAACTTACCCACAATATACAACACATAGTATATATATATGTTCTCTTGCACAGGTTCACAGGCGTCTGCCTCAGCCTACTATGGAACAGATGCATGCAGCGGTCGCCATAGCAGCACAGACGCCCAAGAGCAAGTCCCAGGCCCCCCGTACCACCCCTAGCATCGGAACTGCAACCCCTTCCTTCCAGAGACCCATCTCACCCATGATGGCACCGGGAAGTGCGCGCATCTCCTCCTCCCAAGCATCCTCCATCTACGATACTTCATCTTCTGGTGGTCTCCTAAGTGTCCAGCAACCAGGGATGGTGGGCGGAATCTCCCCCTCGGCACTCAACACCTCCATCAGCCCCACACCACGAAAGGTACAAACTCACAAACACTGGCTGTTTTTTTAATTTTAAACACATAAGTTTGAAAAAAAAAATTTTGCTGATAAATGATAACAAAGTTGTAATTGGATACTTGCAAGCGACGTCATGCGTAGGTCAGCCAATCACGTACGACACACGCTTGACGTAGCTGGCAGGTATCCAATTAAATTTGAACGAAAACTGATTCAGCGTGATAATAAACCCAAGCCTCTATGCTGTAACGTTTACACGTCTTTTACAACCATGTGGTTAATTGCAAGTATCTAATTGATAATCATATTTTTAAAGATTCATATTGTGTGGATAAAGTTTTAAATTATTTTTACTTAAAATTAAGATTTTTGTGTACACATTGATAGCAAATTGAGTACTCAAAGTATAGTTCGTCGCTAACTACGATTTTTCCATCTGTCCTGATTGTCTACGAATTTTGCATTGAAAGAACGGTCCGAAAGTATTGATCAAACCAAGTCCCAGTAGGACTTGGAACAATGTGTGTCGAATTCAGCAGATGGGGTAGAATAGTCCATTTACGATTAAATGGAATATTCTACCCCATTCTTATATTCCATTACGATTAGTTTTTCTCCTATCCATGCCTCTTTCTACCCATGCCTACGTCTCTTACAGGTTTTAGTTCACCTATCCATGCCTCTTGACAAAATTCTAAAATATTTTTTTTATTTTTTACATTTGACCCGAATCTTCGTTAAATAATGCCCCAAAATTTTGATTCTTTGGCCTTAGTTTATGTTTCTTTTTCTTCATGCCAGACCAGTTTTGGTACCAGCAATCACACTAGTTGAAATAAGCCTCCATATCCATTTACCCTCAAAATACTATGTAATTTCCATAGTTTCATTTCTCTTAATTATTTATTAAATTCTCTCTATTATTTTAAAGAGAAAAAAAGGAATGTAATCCTATTTTAATAACTTACAATGAGAGAAAATTGGCCCATAACTGCATAAAAATAATATAAACACAGTCACACACACACACATAATGGAGAGATGGAAGACACACAAAATAACAAGAATATATTTACTGTAAGAGTGTGACTTATGTTTTCCATGCAATGTTTCAACTTAGTTCCTAAATCCGACCTTTTCGTCGTAATTACTATTTTCATTTTATTAAATTTAAATTAAACTAAAAATTATAAATATCCGAATATCTTTATCCACTAATTCTTTCATTCATATTATAATCTGAATTTTTTTTCATGGTAAATCTGAGATATGGCGCACTGATAAATCTTACAGGGGGCGCTCCTAAATCCATGTTCCCTAAATCTATATTCAAAAATTTCTTTCAATGTTAGAGCTAGATTAATAGTTGAATTTCAAATTTTATAAGATTTCAGAAAATTTACACGATATCGTAGCATTAAAATTATTTGCCATTACAGCTGTTTATTTAAGGATGATTTTTGAACGGTTGATTCAAAGTTGGTAAATATAAATGATAAAAAAAAATATGAACAAGTCAATTTATTTATTTACAGTTGTTGCTACGGTGTTTATCTTATTCAAAACTCTTCCAGAGCATTTATTGGTTTTTTACTTGTTTATTTAGCCGTGTTTAAGGTCATAGAAGTTCCATCACGAAAGGTTGAAATACATTAATAGGATGGTTAACTATAATTTTGTTAGTTATTTTTTTCCTTAATGTCATAGAACAGGCGAATTTTGTTTTAGCATGCGGTAAAATATATTTTACCTTTACATTTCTTATTGTGTGTTATTTAAGATGATTTGTAATTTGTGTTAAGGTAAATGACATCCATAATGAAACTTTAATTTCCTAAAAATTAATACCAATACAGGATCTAAACGTTAAAAATTCAAAAATTATTTCGAAAACTGGAAGATTTTTCTCTTGTTTTAAAATCTGAAATTTCGATGTTCGTTGTTTAAGTTATTCTAAAAGTTGTTAACACGATTTTGTTTTAATTGGCTCAAGATATTCATATCAAGTGGAATTGAAATGTTATTCTACTTTTTGCACCTTTTTATAGCACTAACAAAAAAAATGTTTTTCCTAAATGATATTAGTTTTGTGATACATAACATATTTATAGGAAATTAGAGAAAAAGTTAAATGAAATAGAATATGAATTCGAAACACGACTTTTTCAGAGGACATCCTACATTCATTTGTGCTTTTCTGTGAATAACTATTTATCAAAACAAAAGTGTTGCTTGTATTCCGGTCGTATTTCAGTTAACTTTCTCTCTAATTTTTTTCCATATGTATTTGAAAACAAATGGTGGTATTTTGCTATTTAACCGCTTTCCCAGGTTTGACATAGATTTTACTATATTTTTTGCATGTTTGTCTTTAAACTGGCTTTTAACTGAATTTTATTTAAGAATAGGATTGGATTTCTGCGATACATAATGTACTATATTTACACAGTTTTTTGAAATTAACGTACTTAGTGTATATTTATTAGAATCCTTGGCGGAAAGAGATCAAAAAAGTATGCATATTGGAAGTGATAAATTAATATCTATGAAAGGAGAGAAAAAAAAACGCTACTGAAATTTGACAATCATTACAAGTAAAAATCTCCAACTAACAATTTTTGACAAAATTTTATTATATTTCATAACCGACGTAAAACAGTGACCCAGTTCAGAGTTGAAGACTCATTTTATTATTTTTTTATTTTTATTTTCAAAATTTAAAGGGATCTTCCGTTTTAATCCTCCCACATTTTTCTCCCTAAAAATTCTAAAAGTTCAACATTGAAAATTTTATACTGAACATTTTAATAAATACAGAAATGTTAGAAATCCTGACTGTTAAATATTGTTTCGAAGCGTCTTTGAGTTTTACCTAGATAGTAAACAGATTTTGAGGCTTCTGAATCGCAAATCAAACAAAAAAAAATTTTTACAAAATATTTCTTTCTCTCTTTTATATGTAAAGTATGTTTTATTATGAAATATTTTTTTGTAAATAATTTGTTTGTTATGAGTTTGTCAGTTTTTTTTCCACTTCTGGTTGCAAAAATACAAATTACTAGAAATAAATGTCAGTTTGGCTGAGAAAATTTGAAATAATTAGAGATTGGTAGAAATTTCTCGAAATTGTGCGATAAATAATATGGTTGGGAAAATCACGTTTAAAATACTTAAAACAAAAATTAGTTTGAAGCGATTATTCGTTAGAACGCTAATTAAAATAACAAATTGTTATAAAAAAGATGCTTCTGGAATTTCATACTTAACTTTAGAATTTATTACAAAACAAACGAAATTTTTTCTTAGTTTACAATTCAGTCTTTTAAATTTTGCTCTTTGAAACGAAAATATTAAAGGAATCTTAGATTAAAAGACAAAAGTCTATAATTGACGTGAGCACTAGCTAATATTTACCAGCAAAATGTCATATTGAAGTTGAGCTAAGCTTCTCTACATAAGTTAGATTGTTAATTAACGATAAGTTAATTAAATACAGAACCGTATGGCACATCGAATGTGTTTAAATATAATTCCTTCTCGTCTACTTCTTTTACTTAGATTTTTTACTTGTTTATGTATTTTATTGTAACTGTGATATATTCTTGTTTTGTGTACCTGGCAACTTACCTGGAATAATTAGTTTGTTTATGTTCCACGTGGCTTCGTGCCTGTCTTTGTGTTAAGTCTCTATGTAAATATATAACGAAAGAATTAAAATCGTTGAGAAAGAATCTTTCTTGAGGAATATAGAATGTGTCACTTGACGGGCTTGGCTTACTCGAAATATGATGGAAAGAACAGTTGCTAACGTAAACAAATGCCACGTTTCAACAACCCATCAGAATCGAGATACCACATACTACGTCACTTGCATGTATCCCAATGACAAATGACACTTATGTTGCCTTCCTTGTTTGCGGTATCTTTTTCCCTCCATGATTCGTGGAGTGACGTATGTGACGATATTATTTTTAAATGTGAAGTGAAATTATTATCATAAAATAGGTTTAAGAAGGGTGATTTTTAAACGATTCTGTAAGTTAAAAATAACATTTATTTCACGAAATGGAGTAAAGTGAAACCGATATGAAGTATTTCGCGAATATTAGCGGCACAGTAAAAATACAACTTATTTGAGAAATTAAATATGTTATTGCAACGCGAACTCGTTAAAAAAATTTTTGAAGTTTTTCTATTTCAAAATCAAACGACTTTTTGCGAAATCTTTTTTATTGCATATAAATTAAATAAACTGAGTAACAATCGAAGGAAGTATAACTTACTTATTGACTTTCTCTCCCGAATACTAACAAAGAATTACGAGGATAAAATAAAATTCTCTATTATTATAAAAAGAAAGAAAAAGTGCTTCTTTTCAGTTTTCAAGAAGTCTCGAAAGCATTTTCTCCCCCATAGACGGAAGAGGCTTTTGTTATTCGAGTTTCATCTTGATGTGTGTTTTCCCCGAAAAGAAAACAATATTCCCTACGCTGGGGATAATATGAGAAAAGGTTTGAGAAGGCAGGAGAAATTTCTTCCCCTAGTTTGCAAAATGTTCTTTGCATAACAATGTGCTTTTGGATGGAAGTACGTCGTAAATATTTGCTTAGTTCACCCCTTTCTGTGTTCAACTTTATTCTAATTCGAGAAATTTCGCTACCCAAATGATGGGGAAATATTTTTTAAAAAAAATCTTAATGTCAGAGGAGGAATTTTATTGTTACATTTTTATAACTTTTTTTTTATTTCTTAATAACGCTGTTGAAAATATGTTCGTATAAGGAGCCTTATTCAAATTGAAAAGAATATTAATAGGGCGGAAAACGTTTTCTTGATGACAAACTGTTAGTTTATTATTAACATTATTTTAAGCTTAAAAAGCTTTATTAATTCGAATCTTTAATAATTCTCTGCTTGCGTTTTTCAGAAAAAGATATTTTAATTTCTTTAAAATTTTCTCTTTGCGTTACTTCTACGAATAAAAATTTTTCATTTCCTTATAATTATATATTTACGTTA